TGTTGCTGCCTTGCAGCTGCTGCGTGAACCAATTTGTCAGAAAGGTCTGGTGGCCACTTGCGTTAAAGTTGGCCCACCAAAAGTCGTTGGTCATGGCGTTCGACGAGAGGTAGATATACGTGAAGCTGCCGCCGACAGACAAGAGCACATAGATGATGCCAAGAACCGTCGTTGTCGTTCGTCGACGCTGCGTGGCTGGGATCTTGGTCGTTCTTGCTTTCGGGTGCAAAGATGTGAGCTGCAACGGGTTGAGGCGCACGAATTGCCAGAGGTTGACATGGAAGAAGCGGTGCCGGACCGGAACGATACCAGCGAGGAGCGTCGTCGTCGGGTCTTGAAACCACAGCGGACGCGCAGCCGTGAGGAGAAAGATCTGAGCGGCCGCGGGCAGCAGCTCACTTTGGCGGCATCGGGGTCGACACTCGGCGCCGCACCAGAGACGCACGAGCAGCCACGCGCCGAGGATGCTCAGCAAACTCAGACAAAGATAGAGAATGAGGCGCTGTGCGCTGCCAATCTGCACCACGCCACCCGAGCACGTAGCGCGAAGCCCCAGCTGCACGACGCGGCACGTCTGCTGCACGTGCATGGATGCTTCGAAGGGGCATATGGTTTCCCACAGTACAAAGACCCACCACGACGCGATGGCGCTAATCGGTGCATAGAGGCGAGCGTGGCTCTCGGCCGTTGGCAAGAACAGGTCGACGACGACGTACGTGATCCAACTCGCTTCGCTGGCGAGCACCATGACATCGAAGGCCGGACGCGGCTCAAACACGAAGCGCGCGATGCTGTCGTCCGCGACAAAGGCGACGGGCGACGTCGAGAGCACCGTGAGCGCGACGACGCCCCGCAAAAGGAGGAACGGGCGACCGACCCACGTGGGACTCGCGACGCGGTGAAACGCAACGAGGTCGATGCCGGTGACTTGCAACTTCTCGCGCATGGCCGCCGCGAATACCGCGAGTGCGACGAGGGACATGAGTGCGCTCGAGTACAC